CAAGGATCGGGATCTTGCACGTAATAATTTACGATAAAACTAAGAATTAAATGAAAATAATCGAGGTTCGGGATCTTGCCTACGATGTAGAGGGGGCTGTCGGACAGCGAGCACGGTGGTCTCAACGTCGGGGCTGGGGCGGTCGTCGGAGCAGCGGCTCGAGCGTGGTGGAGGAGCTTTGGAGGCGGCAGAGGTCAAGGCGGGGGCTGATGCTGGTCGGAGGGGGTGAGGGTTGTTGCGGGTCGGAGGTCAGGGCGAAGTCGGCAGGCGGCGGCTGTTCGAGTGGGCAACGGCGTTCGTCGGGGAGGAGGTTCGTCGGAGCGGCTCTGGGTCTGAGGAGGAGGAGGAGGCGGGTGATGAACAGTAGAGAGAGAGAGGAAAAAGTTATAGAAGGAGAGAAGGTGATTGGAGAGAGGAGGATGAGCTGGCCAATTAAGGGATTGGAGAGAGAAAGGAAAGTACAGGAGAGAGTGATTTACGGCGGGGGCTGATGCTGGTCGGAGGGGGTGAGGGTTGTTGCGGGTCGGAGGTCAGGGCGAAGTCGGCAGGCGGCGGCTGTTCGAGTGGGCAACGGCGTTCGTCGGGGAGGAGGTTCGTCGGAGCGGCTCTGGGTCTGAGGAGGAGGAGGAGGCGGGTGATGAACAGTAGAGAGAGAGAGGAAAAAGATATAGAAGGAGAGAAGGTGATTGGAGAGAGGAGGATGAGCTGGCCAATTAAGGGATTGGAGAGAGAAAGGAAAGTACAGGAGAGAGTGATTTACGGGAATAAAAAGGAAGAGTATAAAAGCTGATTAGGAATTGATTTGGGGGATTAGGAAATAATTCGAATTTCAAATGGAAGAAAAAAAAAACAAGAGAGGGAAAAATTTCGAAAATATCATATAATATTCTGAATTATTTTAATAATTAAAAATCAACCAAAAGTCTTTTTATTAATATTTATATATCAATGTACTATACTCAAGTTTACATTAATAATAACAAGATCATTAATAATATCAATCACCAAATGATTATATATAAAATCACTAAATCGTAAATTAATATTTAGCTGAATTAAAATACAAGACTATATATTTTATTATTTATTTATTTTGAAAACTCAGCTGAATTATATTAATAATTAATAATCAACCAAAAATCTTTTTATTAATATTTATATACTACTGTACTATACTCAAGTTTACATTAATAATAACAAGATCATTAATAATATCAATCACCAAATGATTATATATAAAATCACTAAATCGTAAATTAATATTTAGCTGAATTAAAATACAAGACTATATATTTTATTATTTATTTATTTTGAAAACTCAGAAAATTCCAAAAATTAAGAAAAGTATTAATAAAATATAATATAATATTTTAAGTACTAGAAAAATTTATTTAAATACGTATCAAAATTTATGGTTGTTACAATTCTCACCATCTCCCTTGGATTCTACAGGTTGCTTCTTTGACCCCGACGAAGATTCAACTCTTTTGTAGCCTCCTTGGATGAGATCCACGAGCTTTGTGAGCATCGAACTGATTATCTCAATATATTTATCCACCGTATCAAGTTTGGATGAATTGTCGTTTTTAGCTATCTTCTTCTTCTTACTTGATTTCTGGACTTCTTCTAATGAAACAAGAATCTTGCATAGCTTCTTGTATTACGATCGAGTAAGGATCATACACAGGATACCCCTTCACAAGATCTGAATACGCTCTGTTACCAACTTGATACGAGTCGTCGTGTGAGCACCTTTGCTCGTGAAATTATCAAAGGTGGGTTTGAGAAGAAAACAATAAAACATATAAAACAATTTAATTGGCGAAGAAAAATACATTCTCTAGATTATGAAGAATAAAAGATTACAAAATTTCTCTCTCACAATCTCTCTAGAATAAAGAACAACTTCCCTATCCTCACTAAACTCCTTTCACATGTTTAGAAATCCTAAACAATCCCTATTTTATGTTAAACAACATAGATGGAAAAATCGTAAATACCCAAGCCAAACATAACTTGGATTCGTGTCAAAACAGGAGTCCAGTTTGGCCCAGGAAACCTCGTCGGTCGACCGACAAGAAAGCTTATTTATCAACCCTGTAGGTGCACATTTTTGGTCGACTGATGCTGATCATTCGGTCGACCAAATGTGCTACCTTGGTCGATCGGTATTGGTCATTCGGTCAACCGGCCAGAGCCTTATCGCCAGCTTCCTGATTTTTGTCGTTTTCCTAATTTTGACCATTTTCGCCGCTATCCGCGGCTTCGCCCACGCTTCTATTCTCAAGCTACCATGAGAATCATCTATCCTCAAGCTCCCATGAGGATCACTAAGTTCCCAAAGCAGAGAAGAAGATACACCTGTATCAGCAAATCAAGTCTTTGGCGGCCATTGAGGATTGTTGAAAGTTATGAGGACAGTTATGAGGAGTCGTTGAGGGGATTTTTTATGCATAAGGGGTTATTGAAAGTTGAAGAATAAAAACCCTAATTTCATAAAATGAGAGTGAGAGATAAAACTATACAATATATAACCCATGATGAAGCCAACCAGTAATGGAGGGAACCCGCGCGTCCCCCCCCCCTTTTCGCCGTCGAATCGCATTAACTACGATGGGAGAGATCACCGGATTGAGGGGTCAATGAGACAGTTGCCTTGGTGAGAGAAGAGGGTATTTTCGGTAGGGTTGTGAAAATACACAGTGTATATGTATAAAAGTGGGCTTTTGGGGCTGGGCTACACTTTTTACTCTCTTTTGGGGCTAAAGAGTAAGAGAAATAGTTGCTAGGGCTGGGCCACATGCACTTTATTTGTTTTGGGTCTTGACACAATTTTCCTAATTTTTTTCCCATTTGAATGGTGTCAAAACATGACTGGAGATATATGTTGTCATTCGCCTTATCATTTAATCTGAATCATGCTTTGGTAACTTTTATTTTAGTTTACAAGCTTAAGTTAAAACATTCAATGCATCTTCTGAAATTGGTTCTCTTCCTCAAATTTCTAGGGGGACCACGACAAACTTGAATTTATAACCTTTATAGAGCAGAGCGGGATCACATCTAGAACATATGTTTGAAATGACCAACCCGAAGATCGTTGATATGTTGTTGTGCATTTATCATTTAGCAGCTTCAAACTTCGATGGTGGTAGGTAATTGCTTGGAAGGTTTAATGTGATTTGACTTTGGAATTACGCGGATAAAGCCTCGCTTGGCCAATACTTATAAAGAGAGTGTATTTTTAGAGTTGTTAAAATCTGGATCCTCTCAGAACGGGTCATATAAGATTATTATGTGGAACCAGCTTTTAGTTGACGCGTGTCCATCTACCCATGTGCTAACTCCCTAGTGCATCCATATCTTTTAGATGGGCCCTACTACTAACTCTCAAGGCTTGTTTGGATTTGGAGAGGATAAAGGAAAGTTAGGGGAACCTAGGAGAAGTTAAGGAAAGGGATGGTAACTTGTAAAACTTGTTTGGGAAATTAGTAAGGTGAATTAATGTGGACTTATTTTACCCCGTTTGGGAAGTGTAATAAAGTGAAGGAAAGGGAAGGGAATGTATATAAATTAACATAAATACCATTATATGTTATTAAGTTATGTTGTTGTTAGAAATTAAATAGGGGGTAAATTTGTCCATATACAATTGTTTGGTTCCCCCACTTTATCCTCACCCTCGTTACACCCCAAAAGAAAGGGGTTTTCACTTTTCTCCCCTCCATTCCCTTGCCTTCACCCCCTCTAACTTGTTAAATTCAATTCCCAAACAAGGTTAGACATTACGCTACCTTCCCTTCTCCCTCATTCTCATCAATCCAAACAAGCCCTCAAGTTCTTCCCTTATTCGTTCTGTTGAAAATTGATAATAGTCTCTCAAAAAAAAAATCAAAGATAGCAAGCAAATTTGATTCCTTACAAAAAAAAAAAAAAAACAATTAAGAACGGTATCAAAGGGGGATGCCCAACGGTGGTGCGATGGGTAGCCTAGGCTGGGGCTAGAGATATGAAGCTTCACAAAGACGAAGTTTGCTTGCAATACTCACCATTAAGATTTTGTTTTATTTTTATAACAACCAATACTTCAACCACAAGATGGTGAATGTCTCAACGGCATAATTTGTGAATGCCTCAACGGCATAATTTGATAAACGATTATCGTGGATGACATGTGTTCTGCTATGAACCCACTTTAAGAATTTAAGATATTTTTTAGATTTTTAATTTCTGATAACTGCATGCCAATTTTTCTCTCATTGGATGAGAAAAATGGGGATTTCTCTTCTTTTTAGTTGTGTAAATTACCCCCATTCAAGATTAGAGGTTGGCTTCTAATATTTAACCGGTGAAACCAACGAAGCACAATCAACGTTCAATGAGATTCGTAATCGGGGTTCAATGAGATTCGTAATCGGGGTGTCTTTCTCTGGTCTATCTTGCATCATGTGTAGAGCCTAAAGAAATTGCTAGTGAAAGCATTCCGTGAGGTGGGACCCACGTCCCCTGATGTTCCTCAGGAAGACAAGGATGATTGCCCACACCCGGTGAGAATCCTCGGAGTTGGTGGGGAGGATCGGTAGAGGTAGTATTTTTTTTAATTAAATAAACTGATTGGGAATTCTCATGCGAGTTGGGCGCGAGTTGGTGGACACGCGTCAACAGGGTTCCGCATAGTAAATCTATAAGACCCATTCTGAGCGGATCCGGACTCCTGGATATGAGGTTCTTAGGGTCTAATGATGTGTTATAATTGTCCAAAAAAGCCGAAGGCTTTCAGTATCTAGATTCTTATTTCCCATCGTCCACAATGTAAAATTTAATGAATGGGTGCAGCGGCCCACATCGTTTAGAAGTTCGAAGGTTATTTAAGTTGGGGCAGATCGGATGCTAATTAAATGGGTCGGGTTAAAATTGAACCGGCCCGAAAGGCGTTTGTGGACCCTGCGAGAAATCGCAGCCGTCCGAGGGTATATCTGTCCAACGATCAGCAAAAATGAGGGGAAGGGGGAGCGGTTTCCTAGCCACGCCGCCTTCGTTTCTCCATCTCGTCTTCCTCTCCGGGGTTGGGGTTAGGGTTAGGGTTAGGGTTAGGGTTTGGTCTCCCGTCCGATCCGATCTATCCGCGATGGAGAACAAATGGGAGGAGATGAAAATCACTTTGGAGACCTTTGATTTCGGCGAATCCGCAGCGGAGGAAAGCGGGAGGGAGGAGGACGTAGCAGTCACTTTGAAGACGTTGGATGGGCGTGAACTGGCCTTATCTTCAGCTAAGGCCGATGCGGTGGCTAAGCAGTCATTCAGGATATGGAAGATTCTTCGGGAAGCGAAAACAAGAAGAACGGTTGAAATGCCGCTGGGATGGAGGATCCTTGCGATGGCGATCGACTACTGCTTCGAGCACGGCAAGGATAAGAAGTTAACTTTCGACGATTTCATAGACGAGAACGGGAATTATTTCCCAGAAAAGTTCCCGGATAAGATCAAAGCTAACGAGGCCATCGACGAGAAGCTCAGCAAGTGGGATGAAGCTTTTCTTCAGGACTGCGACGCCGAAACTATCTTAGAGCTTGTAACCGTAAGCACCTGAAAAATCTATGCTATTTGGCCTGCATGCACTTGTTGTTAAGACGTGCTCACGCTTAAATTATTTATTTCTTCTTAGTTCTTAATCTATAACATCTGTCAAACGAAAAAACCCTTATTAAGTTATAAACATCTGTCAAACGAAAATTATATAAAGCATTTCTAGTTTGGTGGGGGGTTCAAAAAGACGGCTGCAACTTTTGGTTGGTTATTTCTTGCAAGATGATGGTTGTTAGTAAGTGAGGTTTCTTCTATAGCAATAATGAAGCCAGCCATGTTGCTGAGACTCGCACACATACCCATATCATATGCCTTGTTTTTCTGTATTGATCATAACATACGCATCATGTAGATATTTCCTTTCTGGGTGAACGGCCATTTATGTACTTTCACTTTTGCAATTGTCACAAAGAGATCACTCTGTCCCTGTAGTGCACCTTATTTTAGGGGCTGTTTGGTTGCTTTCCTTCATTTTCCAAATACCCATTTTCCTTCACTTTTTGGCGTTTTCCTTACATTCTTGGAAGAGTGTTTCTTGTGTTTGTCTCGTCAAAAGACACGGGGTATAATTACTCTCCACCACTTTCTTTAGTTTGGTTCAAATTAAAAAGATAAGAAAGTAGTTAATGTGTGGATTGATTGCTTCATTTTCTAGTGTTTGGTTCAAACTAAAAAAGGAACTATAGTTGTGATCACCATGGTGTGTTTACCACCACCCAAATAGGATAAAATTATTGCCAAACATAAGTGGGGTGACAATACGAACCATTTGAGGAACTAATCCCAAAATATGAACACTTTAGGGAGGAGTTTTAAAATGTTTAACGAATCGAGAGACTAAATTTAAATATTAGGTAGTAATTTGCAAAATTTATAAAGATTTGAGCTACTAATTTCAACTAATTATGAACATTTAAGGGAGTAATTCCGAGAGACTAATATTTAAATGTTCCGAGAGACTAATTTTAAGTTTTTATGAACCCATTTGAGAGACTAAATTCAAAATATGAATATTTGAGGGAGGAAATTCAAATTGATTAAAATTTTGAGGGGCTAGTTAAAATTTCAAGGTAGTAATTTGCAAAATGTTTAGAGATTTTTGGGACTACATTCAAGCTTCAACTAATTGTGGACATTTAAGGGAGTAATTCCAACCTTCTAAAGATTTGAGAGACAAATTTTATGTTTGATGAAGTAAATTTTAAAATTTTAAAGTATTTGAGGGAATAACTGCAAGTATTTATTAATTGACTGACTAATATCAATATTTTAGAGGCTGAGGGACTTTTATGAAAACTATTTATCAAATTAGCATACCAAGGTTTGGAATGAAGCCAAATAATACTAGAATTGAGAGTTCACGGGAATGCTAGTCCCGTGAATTATTAGAAAAAAATCCACGGGGCTAGCAGCCCCATATATTTGGTGGACGTGCACGCACAGTTAACGGAATTATTAGTCCCGTGGATTGTGCAGAAACAAAATCCATGGGACTGGTACTGTGAACAAAGTATCACAAACTGCCAACTATTATCTTTTATCTTCTATTGAGCATGTTTCTAGACAAAGCCTGCCATGTCATATATTACAAAGCGCCAATCAAACGCTAATATCGTAGACAAATTAATCAAACATAAGCACCAATAATAAATCATAACATAGATGGGTACAAAATCCACATTAGTGTGTTGTATTCTACAAATTGAAGCATAATAACAGCTAACATCTCTTAAGCTCCAAAAAGACTGCAACTTTTCACTAAATTCAACATTACAAACAAATGCAATAGCTAGCTAGACACCCAAAACTACAAACACTATAGTTTTATAATATTATATTTTTAATTTTAGTTAAACAAATGTTTGCTGTTCGCCCCTCCGAGAAAATTTTACTGGATCCACGGCTAATATGTGTATGCGATATCATACAAAGCCACAAATATGGAAAATCTAAGTATGAGACAATACAGGATGTCTAGTAATTTATCACTTCCATAGAGCATCACCAAGTATATTCAGACCTACAAATATGAAAAATCGAAGTATGAGACAATACAGGATGTCTAGTAATTTATCACTTCCGTAGAGCATCACCAAGTAACGTTCAAGGTGGACGGTTGATAGGCAGCCCTTCATCAAAGTTTTACACTAACCCTGTCGATAAGAATCAGGGAGCCATTGAATTAAATGCAGATAATGATTACCAGAAGTTGGCATCAGTTAGTCCCAGCTTTCAAGCTTGCTTTGTTGGCCAAGGATACACCATCCTCTTGTTTTTTAGCATTGATCAACAAAAACACCAACCAGTCCCCCAGATACACCACCCTCCTGTTTTTTACGGTCAGTTAGATTCAAAGGCAACCAGTCCCCCAGATACACCACCCTCCTGTTTTTTATGGTCAGTTAGATTCAAAGGAAATGAGGTTTAAGCAAGCGTGCAATTTCCATCATCCCTAGTGTGTCTTTCCCCTCAAAGATAGACTTCAGCTTCTTATCCAGCGAATTTCCCTCTTGTTTGCTGGATTCTGCAGCTGCAAATACATTGAGTTATGGCCGGATTCATTTACAAGGTCAGCGTATCAAAAAAACAAAAGAAGAAGAAGAAGAAGAACAATAAGAAAGATAAATCAATGATTACTATCATGGGACTTCTAAAAATGTTCACACGTGCATCAAAAAGAAGCAAAGTCTCTAAACTGTATAAAACATTATCAACTTAGTTTCCCTGCTATGTAGTAGCCAATCTTAGGTAGAAAGCTCAGTCTGTAGATTCTCAAATGTTTATTACGTGCATAGAAAAACTTCACTCTAGATCCATATATAATACTACCTAACTAGCAAGTTGACTTCTGTAATTAATTGTTATCTTTCCACGAAGACAACCTGCCTACTTACAATTGCAAATAAGTTTGCTTCAAGTTTCAATCATGAACCAGCATAACCTACGAATAAGGTCTGTGAGGTTTTTATCACACTCCTTCACTAACCTATGAAATAGCATAGGACCATACCTAGTCATATACAGATTTTACTCACATGCTTAAAGTTGAGAAAGCATTAGCAAGCATTACAATAGTACATCCCAAGAATCCTAAAGAAAATATTTAACATCCCAATCACTGATTAATGAGAATCCAATAGAGTGAAACAAGTTCAACCTCACTAGATCAATAGTCAGTTAGAGTCTAATTGTTTAACAATAATCAAGATCACTCTCCCAAATTGCCTTGTTCAGTTGGTCTCAGAAGCTGCTATGTTGGCACTTGGTGCCAAAACTGAAAATACTAAAACACCTGTATAATTATTATCCCTTTAGCATAGTAACACTTGAATAAATGTGATTCACAATCTGTTACTGCTACTACATCAATGCAATCCACAGTTCATCTATGAAGCAATATCTGTATGAGCTCTTCCATGTGCCCTCATGCACACCCATGTGAAACACATGCACACAAACAAGCACAGAAGTAGAAGACCAAACTACATAATAAAAGAATAGGTAATGTACAAAAATAAAGTTTTACAATTAATGTACAAATCACCATAAAATGAAGTAGTCAGCTAGGCATTTATTGATCACTATTATAATAAAATAGCACATGCATCTATTATGCATGTTGATAGCTGTAAGAAATCAACTCAATTTTACAGAAAAATAAACCCTAAAAGCTTAAATTAAAAAGAAAACCAGTAAATTTTTTACCTTCAATTGGAAAACGATGAAGCTAATTGACTATAGATTAGCTGTAATAATCAATCTAAAAAATGGGGGATTTTGTGCAAAGGAACACAAACTAGTAGTGATTCCCTCAATCTAAATCCCTAAACCCTAAGAAGCATTAAAGATATAACAACACCGGTTAAATCACTAATAAAACAACCCTAAACCCTAGAAAGGTGATAGTTATACCCGGAGGTTGTTGGACATGATGTGCTCCCAGATTTTCTTGACAGTCTCAGCGCGGGAAACTTCAGAAGCTCCGACGAACTTCTTCAGAGTCGGCGACACCGACAAGGGCTTCATCAGCCTGATGTTCTTTGGCTACTTCGTCGAGGAGGCGGTGGCGGACGAGATTTGATGGAGCTGAAAACTCTAGTTCTCTTTTTCTGTTCGGATGGGTACGGAGAGGAGTTTTTCTTCGAAATCGTGGTTATGCGGGCTGAAACTTTTCCAAGGAAAAATCCTAGCCGGCGCCTAATTTTTCTTCCACTTCTTTAATTTTGGCAAGCCAAACAACTGATTTTGGGGGAAAACAACAATAAAATACTGTGTCAGTTTTCCGATGGGCCTTTTTCTGCAGTTTTTGGACCAACCAAATGGGCCCTTATTTATCATCATCATCATCATCTTCATGTAATAGTTATAGCTTAAGCTGTTGAATTTGCCCTTGGAATGCCTTGAACTTTGTAGCGAGAAGCCTAGAAATTAATTCGGAAAGAAGGAAAATCTTCTATGTTTCCCACATCATTGGTTCATGACATTTTATTCAGTTTCTTCTAATCTGGCTTTTTATTATATTATCTCATTAGGAGAGGAAGTCACCAAGCTCTATGATTCTTTCTTTGCATCAGCCTATAGATCGTAAAGTTGGTAGGCAATTCTAGTAGCCCAGTATTAGCGGCTTAAATTGTTTTGCTGCTGTAGTTCTATGTTATACACTGCTACAGAACTTTCTACATGATGGGAAACACTGTGAAACAAATAGTAATAATAAAGATGCCGGCGGTATCTTCCTTGTAGATCCATGATTTGGGAGCTTTTAATGGTCGACTCAAACCTGTCAAAAAAATGGGTAACTCTCTCTCTCTTGGGAGCTTTTAATGGTCGACTCAAACCTGTCAAAAAAATGGGTAACTCTCTCTCTCTCTCTCTCTCTCTCTCTCTGACTCAAACCTGTCAAAAAAATGGGTAACTCTCTCTCTCTTGGGAGCTTTTAATGGTCGACTCAAACCTGTCAAAAAAATGGGTAACTCTCTCTCTCTCTCTCTCTCTCTCTCTCTCTCTCTCTCTCTCTCTCTCTCTCTCTCTCTCTCAATGATGGACGAGTAATTGATCTCACATGCTTTCTTGCAAATTAATTTCTCTTTCTTTCCTTGATGCCAATATTTTCATTACATCACTTGTGTTTTCACTCGGTTTTGTTGAAGTTGTATCCCTGTACTCCTTGTTTGTTAGGGTTAATTCTAGATCCTTTTGATTTGAAATCTTTTAATCATTTATCTCCAAAAATTTCCTCCACCTTTCTACTATAGAATTCCCGTACTCCCATCTCTGTTAAAACACCATTTTTAGTTATCTAGAACAGGCTGCAGCTTCAATATGATTAGGAAGTTCATCCATGAGTCATGACCAATATCGAGATTTGGTGTCAGCGTGAGAGATGGCTAGCACTTTGAATAAAATTTTCATAAGAGCATGTTTGTATACCTTATATGCAAAATCTGGAAAGATAAAAGCTCAGAAGGTGACGTCTTATGAATAGCTTTCTTGAGAACTGATTAAATTTTGGTAAACTGTAGAAGTAGAAAAATATGAGATCTTCCCGTCCTTGTATGTTTCTCCGGCCAATGGCACTTGATTAAGAATATTTCTTGGAACGTTTTTAGACTGAATTCTCGATCTTGATACCTTGTTGATCTACATGCAATAAGTTTTTGTCTTGTCATGCGCATATAATTCTTATCCTAATTAAATAGTATTTGCTTTTGATTATGCCAGGCTGCACGCCATTTGTGGGTCACCGGGCTGAGGGATTTGGTTGGCCAGGCTGCAATGGACATGATGATTGGGAAGAGTGGAAAGGAAATTGTGGAGATGTTCCTCGGCAAACTTGAAAAGGATATACAAGAAGTTGATCGAGAGAACGAACTAATGGGTCACAGATCAGTGATGAAGGGGCCCGAGTTGGTTGATATGAGGGATGTGGTTGAATCTCTCGGACCTCCAGGATTTGGGAGTATTTAGCGTGCTTCCATACCATCAAATACTAAGTCTTGTATTGATACGACCCTGGGGTTTTATATATTTATTTTCTAGGATTTGCTTGGTGGTGTTTTTTTTATAAATGATCCTTGACCATTACAATATAATAACTCATGTATTGTATTTTTTTTTTTTTTTTGCCTATGTCTGTTGAAGTGAAATCTTTTTAATTACGGTAAACTACAGGAAGACTGTTCAACAAAGGAGTCCCTGTTTTATGATCTTTTTAAGAACCATTAGTCTTCGACACTGGGACATGTTTTTTTTAACCAAAAGGTTTACCATGATTTACCTTTGAATCCAACTTATTCTATATGTACTTATAAACCCAAATAACTACTTGAAATCCGCTTTGTCTTAAGTATTATTCTCGTGCTTGCACATGTGGTGCACCAAGTGAGAATCTATGTTCTCTCTCATGTAAAATGGGTAAGAGTCCTGTTAGGAGGGCCAAAAAATAGTAGAGTTCTATGAGCTCAAAAATAGGGCTGTTCTATAGAGCCAAAAAACAGTACAGTTCTACGAGCTCAAAAATAGGACTGTTCTATAGGACAACTGACATGTAGGGGTGCATTCGGTCCGGATACAGCTCGGATATGATGCTTACCATATCCTTATCCGCTTACTCATCTCGGATACAGATGCATATACACATATATATCCGTAAGAAAATTTTATAATCATATCCGATAAAATCGGATACGGTTACGGATATACATGTGGATATATAAGTGGATATGCATACGGATACAAAATAAATACGAGAAAAGTATATAGTATTGAGAAAAATATAATTTATGTGATACAAAAGAGTTCATTAATATCTTTATTATAACTGAAAAGTTAAGATTATATCTTGATCATCAAAATTAACCACAAATCCATAATCTAAGAATCGAAACTATCGTAAGAGTATGACTAATATGTATTCAGATATTTCGCATACAGATACATATATTTCACTACAAAACCATATCCGTAACCATATCCTTTCGGTTATAGATTTGAGTAACCATATTCGTATCCTAACGGATACGGTTACAGATATTTCATCGGATACGGATACGGTTTAGCACCCCTAGTTAGGATCCTGTTTATATAGCAGTTGTAGCTGGTTACAAGTAATCTTGATTAATGGTAAAAATATTAAATTGATATATTTTGTTTACCTTAGTGACAGTTTGATATATATATTTTTTTCGGCGATATATTGGTATATTATTTTTTCTCCGACGACAAATGGGTCTCAAATTTGGTCGGACTCAAATTTCCTGGGAAATTTCTCACGTGACGCCTCACATGGTGCGAACGTAGCTACCAGCGTGGCTTCCAACGCTATAAATCAGCTCCAATCCCAAACCCTAACCTCTCAATCTCCTTCCTCCTCCTCCCCCTCTCCCTCTCCTCCCCCCTCGGCTCCTCTTTCCTCTCTGACGCCTCTTAGACCTTCAACCTCTTCAAATCCTCCCTCAACTCTTAATGTGGTGAGCTTTAATACCTTAATTTCTAGGCTTTTCTTAGGAAGAAGGAGATAGTTTTTGATGAGATTAGTTACAATTATTTGTCACTGGGAGCCACACTGATAACCACCTTCGCATCACATGAGGCATCACGTGAAAAATTGCACTTGAAATTTGAGTCCAGTCAAATTTGAAGCCCATTTATTATCGGAGAGCAAATAATATACCAATATGTCACCAGAGAAAAAATAATATATCAATATGTCGCCGAAAACAATATACCAAATTGTCATTAAGGGTAAACAAATATACCAATTTGGTATTTTTGCCATAGTAATCATACTCCATTTAAAAGTACGAGTTCGGGAAAATATTTTCATGGTCAATATTACCCTTAATTTTTTTAAATGTTATATTGTTATCCTACTCTATATTCTAATTATCTTATCTTTTTAAAATTGGTAATTAAATAATTTATTCTATTCATATTGAGACTTAACACGTTACTGGATAAAGGAGATACTTTGATATAATTCAAATCATTTACTTATTTCAATTCGTAGAGAAATCTAAAAAACATACGCTAGCTAATACCAAATATTTTTTGGACTTTGTAAAAATATCCTTCAAATTTTTTAAATTACAAAAACACCCCTACAAATTCATCCATGAGTCATGACCAATATCGAGATTTGGTGTCAGCGTGAGAGATGGCTAGCACTTTGAATAAAATTTTCATAAGAGCATGTTTGTATACCTTATATGCAAAATCTGGAAAGATAAAAGCTCAGAAGGTGACGTCTTATGAATAGCTTTCTTGAGAACTGATTAAATTTTGGTAAACTGTAGAAGTAGAAAAATATGAGATCTTCCCGTCCTTGTATGTTTCTCCGGCCAATGGCACTTGATTAAGAATATTTCTTGGAACGTTTTTAGACTGAATTCTCGATCTTGATACCTTGTTGATCTACATGCAATAAGTTTTTGTCTTGTCATGCGCATATAATTCTTATCCTAATTAAATAGTATTTGCTTTTGATTATGCCAGGCTGCACGCCATTTGTGGGTCACCGGGCTGAGGGATTTGGTTGGCCAGGCTGCAATGGACATGATGATTGGGAAGAGTGGAAAGGAAATTGTGGAGATGTTCCTCGGCAAACTTGAAAAGGATATACAAGAAGTTGATCGAGAGAACGAACTAATGGGTCACAGATCAGTGATGAAGGGGCCCGAGTTGGTTGATATGAGGGATGTGGTTGAATCTCTCGGACCTCCAGGATTTGGGAGTATTTAGCGTGCTTCCATACCATCAAATACTAAGTCTTGTATTGATACGACCCTGGGGTTTTATATATTTATTTTCTAGGATTTGCTTGGTGGTGTTTTTTTTATAAATGATCCTTGACCATTACAATATAATAACTCATGTATTGTATTTTTTTTTTTTTTTTGCCTATGTCTGTTGAAGTGAAATCTTTTTAATTACGGTAAACTACAGGAAGACTGTTCAACAAAGGAGTCCCTGTTTTATGATCTTTTTAAGAACCATTAGTCTTCGACACTGGGACATGTTTTTTTTAACCAAAAGGTTTACCATGATTTACCTTTGAATCCAACTTATTCTATATGTACTTATAAACCCAAATAACTACTTGAAATCCGCTTTGTCTTAAGTATTATTCTCGTGCTTGCACATGTGGTGCACCAAGTGAGAATCTATGTTCTCTCTCATGTAAAATGGGTAAGAGTCCTGTTAGGAGGGCCAAAAAATAGTAGAGTTCTATGAGCTCAAAAATAGGGCTGTTCTATAGAGCCAAAAAACAGTACAGTTCTACGAGCTCAAAAATAGGACTGTTCTATAGGACAACTGACATGTAGGGGTGCATTCGGTCCGGATACAGCTCGGATATGATGCTTACCATATCCTTATCCGCTTACTCATCTCGGATACAGATGCATATACACATATATATCCGTAAGAAAATTTTATAATCATATCCGATAAAATCGGATACGGTTACGGATATACATGTGGATATATAAGTGGATATGCATACGGATACAAAATAAATACGAGAAAAGTATATAGTATTGAGAAAAATATAATTTATGTGATACAAAAGAGTTCATTAATATCTTTATTATAACTGAAAAGTTAAGATTATATCTTGATCATCAAAATTAACCACAAATCCATAATCTAAGAATCGAAACTATCGTAAGAGTATGACTAATATGTATTCAGATATTTCGCATACAGATACATATATTTCACTACAAAACCATATCCGTAACCATATCCTTTCGGTTATAGATTTGAGTAACCATATCCGTATCCTAACGAATACGGTTATAGATATTTTCTCGGATACGGATACGGTTTAGCACCCCTACTGACATGACATCTTTATATAGCAGTTGTAGCTGGTTACAAGTAATCTTGATTAATGGTAAAAATATTAAATTGATATATTTTGTTTACCTTAGTGACAGTTTGATATATATATTTTTTTCGGCGATATATTGGTATATTATTTTTTCTCCGACGACAAATGGGTCTCAAATTTGGTCGGACTCAAATTTCCTGGGAAATTTCTCACGTGACGCCTCACATGGTGCGAACGTAGCTACCAGCGTGGCTTCCAACGCTATAAATCAGCTCCAATCCCAAACCCTAACCTCTCAATCTCCTTCCTCCTCCTCCACCTCTCCCTCTCCTCCCCCCTCGGCTCCTCTTTCCTCTCTGACGCCTCTTAGACCTTCAACCTCTTCAAATCCTCCCTCAACTCTTAATGTGGTGAGCTTTAATACCTTAATTTCTAGGCTTTTCTTAGGAAGAAGGAGATAGTTTTTGATGAGATTAGTTACAATTATTTGTCACTGGGAGCCACACTGATAACCACCTTCGCATCACATGAGGCATCACGTGAAAAATTGCACTTGAAATTTGAGTCCAGTCAAATTTGAAGCCCATTTATTATCGGAGAGCAAATAATATACCAATATGTCACCAGAGAAAAAATAATATATCAATATGTCGCCGAAAACAATATACCAAATTGTCATTAAGGGTAAACAAATATACCAATTTGGTATTTTTGCCATAGTAATCATACTCCATTTAAAAGTACGAGTTCGGGAAAATATTTTCATGGTCAATATTACCCTTAATTTTTTTAAATGTTATATTGTTATCCTACTCTATATTCTAATTATCTTATCTTTTTAAAATTGGTAATTAAATAATTTATTCTATTCATATTGAGACTTAACACGTTACTGGATAAAGGAGATACTTTGATATAATTCAAATCATTTACTTATTTCAATTCGTAGAGAAATCTAAAAAACATACGCTAGCTAATACCAAATATTTTTTGGACTTTGTAAAAATATCCTTCAAATTTTTTAAATTACAAAAACACCCCTACAAATTTAAAATTTTATTAGACCATCTTAAAAATTATAAATTTTACTTATTTTAATTTAGTAAGAAATCTGAAAAACTTATGCTAGCTAGAAACAAAATGTTTTTTTGACTTGAAGAAAATATATTGTAAGTTTTGAAAATTACAAAAGCACACCTAAAAATTTCATTTGCTATAACGGTTATAGCAATGATTTGTACACATCGCTTGAGTACTAGGCAGCCGCAATGTCACGTACAGGGATGGACCTCCCCGTTTTCCGTGACGTGAAGGGAAGGAGCATAA